TTTTATAGTGTCCAGCCAGTAGGTGCTAGGGCTAAGTCAATAACAGACATTAGAAATAAATATGTATTATGTGAAATAATAGATTTTACAGGATTGTGTTCAAATCGCTCTGTGAAAATATTGAAAGTTTTCTTTTTTGTATTTCACTTGTCATCCAAAACATTTTTTGCTTCAAATAGTAGCAGCTTATGTTGTGAAAAAACACTTTTGTAAGTAGAATTAAATCAAGAATTTGAATTTGTTTCTTGCTATTATTTTAAAATAAAATTGAGCTGCAGCTGTTGCCTAATCACTAGGTAGTTTTGGATGAGAATTTCAGTTAAGGATGATATTTAAGAGATAGCTGTAGATAACATCCATCGTTGTTATCATTATATATGATGAACTGACATTCTTCTATGTGAAGTTGGTGTTTCAGCCAGATGTCTTTCAAAAGAAGCAATTTCATCCAATTTAGTTATAGTGGATTCAAATGTAATTATACTTAGAAAATACTGAAGTCAATGTGGCAGATTAGGTCATAGATTTCTATAGGATATAAACTGGATTAAGGCAATGTACATACATTGTGCTAAACCTTGCTGCAATGTGATTTACAGTATTTAATTTTGGAGTAGCATGTTATACAAAATCAGATATTGTAAACTATCACTTATAGATTATCACTGTTGTGCACAATTTTTATGATTTAAAAAAATTCTTCAATATTAATCTTTGACAATGAATTGTCAAAATAGAGCAGCGTTTTTTCTCTTTTAAAAACTGAATGCCAAGTAAACTAGGTTTGTTAAATCTACCATACATTTAACACATCTATTTTATATATAAAAAAGAGAGTTCATAAACTAGCATCCCAATCTCTATCTCCAAATGAGTTGAGAATGACCCTCATCTGTAATTCTGGTGCTTAATTCAGATTATAAACTAAACAAACTAGAACTATGGTTGAGTATCAGCACATATCAATAAACTACTTAAGGAATCAAATCAATCATAATATGGAAAACACAATGTGTGTTTTTGTGTGTTTTAATTCAGTCTAATCCCTAAAGCGCTCTTGGTTATCCACATTATTAGAAAAAAGTCTTATCTGAAAACGCTGCATTGCAAATAGCAGACTGCAAGACTGCGCTTCTGTTTTGCCAAATGTCAGGGCAGCGATCAGGTGCTCAGGCAATTGATTCTTATGGATCCAGAGACAATGAGCACTCCAGTAAATAAAGAGATTTTAAATTTTATTATTAGGTCAAGCTAAGAGTTGAAAGCATAACATAAAAAGCATACATATCAAGTAAGATAATACCCAAATCTTTTATAAGCTGCCAAGAGCTCTTTAACAATGATAGCAGAAATGCCCCACTAGGGGCCAGTTTTCACAGTACTGGTGCTAGGTTCCAAGAAGAAGCTCCCCCTTAGTAACAGTACCACAGTTTTTATCAAAACTTGGCACCATGACTTCATGGCCCTGCTATAGTCAGGAGACTGCAAGACCTGACCTTGACTGGCTGGCATATGACTCCAGGATGAGAACTGAAAGTCTGAGACTTTCACAGCAGGAAAAGCTTTGAAGTTATGTGAAGATTTCCCCCTTTCCTCTTTGTTCAACAAGTGGGAGTGACAAACAAGCAAGCTAGCTCAGAATGAGCTCTGAACTTCTACACTTTTCTTAATGTGAAGGAGAAATCAAAATATGTCACTAACTCCTCAGAATAATAATGGGTCTTCTATATTGCTACTATACCTTCCCACCTCAACATTTAAGACTGTTGCAGACATAAAATCCTATATTTACAATGGAGATATCCCAGCTTCTCCTACTATTTTGGGGTCAGAAAGTTTAAAACCAAGTCAGAAATTGCTGGGCTGAGGAAAGAGGAAAATTTGACTCTTAGATTCTCAGATTAAAGTTTGGAATTTTGGGGAAAAGTGGTGTCCAGGAAAATTAAAGCAAAGAAAAGGAGGCTTAAGGTACTATTACTGGAAGAACAGGTAACAGATGTAAGAAAGAATTTGCATGTTTCTTTCTTTATGTTATAGCTATTATTACTCAATTAGAAGTGTAGTAATTATGAATATTTCAGGCTTTAAAATGTAACTCAGATTGTATATGAAGAAATAATTTCTTTTCACAATCTCCTGAGATCTGGAACAATACTTTTGAAAATCTGCTCCAATCTCTTTGCAAAGAATTGTGTGTGTTTTTTTAATTGAAACAGGGGAATATCATCTTGTGGTCTACCTGGACACTGTATTTTCTATTGTAATTATTTTTAAAGTTGCCCTGTCCCCTTTTTCAACAGGGAATGTTGGCATTTTATCATCTCAAGTACAAAACAGGTGTTACAGTTTATCTCTTCCTTTTTTAAAAAAAAAATAGTGTGCATCTGTTGCAAGATTTGTCAATTCTCCAAGGGAGATATGAGTCCTTTAGTCAGTTTACAATGCTATACAGAGCAGAGGTGGGGCTATAAAAACTATTTCCCCCCCCCCATGTTTTTCCCCTTCTCAATCATCAAAAAGACAGAGTAACTGTGAGAACTCTGTTTCTCACATACAGAGGCTAATGGAGTAGACACCAGTTGAGATAATAGCATCATACCAAATAGATGGTAGCAAGAGTCACCAAACTGCTACCCAAACAGGAGGCAGGAGCAGAATACAAAGACCCAATAGAAATAAATAAGAGTTTTGAGATCCCAACCTTCTACCATACATGCTCAACCAGTTTCCACTACGCCCCATAATAAAGTTATCAGCCAATGAAATTCAAAATAGTCAAAAGAATTCTAATGTTGCATAATTAATACTTTGCAAAACCTTGCAAAACTACTATCTGCTAAGCAGATTTATAACTTTTTAGTGAAAAGTATTAAAATTCTCTGCCTGTGGAAATTAGCCAGTTTGCTTACTTTGCAGATCATCTATTTCAGACATCATCAAAGATACCGGTATATAAAATGAATTTAGACTAAAGAATTGAAGCATAAGAAAGTCACTAGTTCATACACAACTATAAGTGACAACAGAAAGCTCTTAACAGGAAGTTAATAAGGCTATGGTAATTGCAAAACTTGAAACTGAAATATTAAGGTTGTTGTTGTTGTTAATTGCGAAGTTGTGTCCAACCCATCGCGACCCCATGGACAACGTTCCTCCAGGTCTTCCTGTCCTCTACCATCTTCTGGAGTCCATTTAAGTTCACACCTACTGCTTCAGTGACTCCATCCAGCCATCGCATTCTCTGTCGTCCCCTTCTTCTATTGCCCTCAATCTTTCCCAGCATTAGGCCCTTCTCCAGTGAGTCCTTCCTTCTCATGAAATATTAAGGTACATTCATTTAGTTTCTTCCTTTATTGTGCTCAAGGTAATGTTTGTAATTTATTGTAATCTATTTGATTCTCTTTTTAGATTAAATGTGTGAGGAGGGGCAGCTCAAGGCCACATATCATACCATAAGCTGAATCCTGATTTTTCCAGCACAATATATTTATAAACAGGATGATCTATAGTGGTGGTAAAATGGGGTTAAATGATAAAAAATAGCTTTTGCTTTTATAACCAATCTCCATCCCTTTTGTATGTTTCCAGTTGGGGAAATTTACTAGGTAGCTTATTCATATAATATGAGTCAAATTTTTCTGGACTTTCACTAAAATTAATTTGTAAGTGATCCAAGAGAAAACAGTGTGCTTGTGGATAATTCTACTGCTTAAAAAAACAGTGTAGATTAGATTTACCCATTACTTGGAAGTAAATCCATTAAGTTAAACAGAACTTATTCCACAAAATCTTTATGCATTACAGATTAATTAATTAATATATAAATATAACAGTTTTGGTTCTTTTAAACAGGATACAAACACCCCAAAGAATAAGTTAAATCTGATTCAAAGTAAACCTTCTCCCTTTAATAGAGACAAATCTACCTCTTAATGCCAGGTGTATCTGGAGAATTGTGATCGACTAAATCCAAATTAAAATATTTGGATCTGGTGAGATTTACATGGCATAGCACATTTGGATTTAACTGTAAATAAATAAACCTTACATCACAATATATCAAACCATTATGTACTGGCTCACAGCTTCTTTCTAAATGCAATTCAAAATATTGGTACTTACCTTTAAAGCTTTAAATGACCAGGATTAAATCATTTGTGAGTCTTCTCTCTAGGTATCTGCCCATTCCAACATCTTAAATAGGATTGCTCTAGATCTCTTCCCTTGAATGTTGTCTTGTAGTGGGACCTTGGAGCAGTGCCTTCCTTGTAACAGCACCCATCCTTTGGAATAGCTCCTCATCTGATATTCAGAGGGTCTGTACCCTTTTAACTTTCTGAAAAGTGATGAAGAACTGGCTCTTCCCCCAAGTATTAGGATAGGGTGAGGATAAGCAAATATATTTTTAACAAATGGGTATTATGATGCTATGGTAAAAAGCACGATGTTCCTTGTATGGGTGATATGATTATTGCTGATCTTTTGTAGGTTACCTAGGATGACTGCAGCCAGATACAGTTTTCAATAAATAAATAAACAAATAAATATTTAAGTCCCAATTACTTACTGAATCATAGAGCATTTGGTTGGGTGACTTTGGGCCAATCACCTTTAGCAAAACCCACCTCACAGATTATTGTGGAGAAAATTGGAGACAAGGCATTAGGTATGTTTGATGGCTTGAGATGACCCAGGTATATTTTTAATAAGGATAAAAATATAATAGTAATATTATATTTGTATTGTGTCATGCAAATATTGTCAGACAAGATTTTTCTTCCTGCAACATATGTCAAATGATGGTAGTAATAAGGCTATTACTGCTGTTTTGTGGCTAGGAAGAAATGTAATTTCTTCACAGCCCATTTTTAAATTGGCAATTTAACATACATTCTTTTTGAATAGTCATAGGGCAAATTACTGAGATTAGTTAATGTGGTTCTATTTGGGATGGAAAACAGCCAGTTGTAGAGCAAAAGTAAGACCTTCATCTTCTGTCCTAATGAATCAGACTTTTTATTGCCCATACAATTTGTAGTGTATGCAACATATTTACCATTTATGAATTCATAGTGCTTAAAATTTGCCTTTATTCTTCTACAAGTAAATGAGCATTGGAAATAATAGGATTTACCATTATAAAAATAAATCTGCTGTCACAGCACCACAATAATGTATCACCAATCATGTTATCAGAAGGATAACAAGATGGGGACAGATCATCCTACTATTATCTATGTAAGTACTACCAATGAACACAAATTTGATGGCACATAATCAGGTGACTGGGATCCAGTAATAATCCATTTGGTAAACCCAACTAGTAAGACAGCATCTTTTATAAATCAGTTGGATTCAATGGAAGCAAAAGAAAAAAAAATGTATTTCATACTCAGATTGTTGTATAGATTGACTTAGCTTAACACTAACTCATGCTTCATCTCAATGTGTGGCATGAATATGACCAACAATGTCTTATTCAACAAATCATGGTTTAGTTTAACTAGGTTGATGGCCCCTAAAATAATATCCTGCTTAAACAGTTTATTCAAACTTAAATTTGCTATATTCATAAAATGAAGTAAACATCAAGTCATTTATGGATTGTGCAATGTGTGAATCACATTGCATACTCATGAAGGCTTCATATTAAAGCTATGCAGCACTTTAATTCAAGGGGAAAGGGTATTTCAAAGCACATAGGATCTGCCACCTGCCTCTCTTCAAACCCAATGTGCCTTTTCCTAGGTTTGTATTGCAGCTGCAGAGGACAGGCCCACAATCTTGGGGAAAGAAACAGATGACTCAAAGAACAGCAGGCTGGTACTATTTAGTGACAGTGCCCCTATCCATTTCAAAGTATTTTTCTCCTTTCAAATCTCTACAAGTTACAGTACCCTTTTTCTTCATTATCCCTAATCCAAGTTCTTTGATCCACAAATCCTAGGTTCCCTCCTCATCTCTTTCAAACTAAATTAAGCCAGGTTCCTCTATTCAGCTCTTTCTTACAACGCCCTTTTTCTGGCCTTTCTCTTTGCCTTCCTTCCTCTCTATTTCCTGCTTCTCTCAAGCTTCATTTTTTTTTTTCAATAAACAGCCCCCTTGAAGCTTTTCAGTTCTCCCCATCGCCATTCATCCTCCTACCGATTCAGTTCCATCTCCTTCCTCTTTCCCTCTCCTGCCCTTGGGATTCCTTCATTTACCTGCTCCACACGAAGGAAATTTGGCTGACTGCCTTTTAAGTGTGTCACCTCAGGCACCTAATTTTCTCTCGCCTCTCCCTTCGCGAGTCACACCTAACGATCTCCGTAGGAGCCAGTTTTTTTTTCTCTCTCCCCTATTACTTTGGCAGTTGAAAGGCGTTTTAAAACTATCATCCCCGCAGCCGCTAAGGATGAGCCAGGACCGCTATGTCCGTTGGAGCAGGGAGCTCGAGCTCCTCCTGCCTCCTCAGAGCGCGCGCGGGGGAAGGACGCCGCCGTCCCCCTTCACGACCGGGAGGGCCGGCGGCCGCTTTGGGTTCTCGCCCCCGCCCCTCTCTTTCTCTCTTCGGCCTCGCGGCTCCTCAGTCTCGCGGCTCTCCTTCCAGGGAACTCATCCTCGTCTCCTCCCCCTCCCTCGCAGCGGAAGTGACCTCCGCGTCGCCCGCCTGCTCTGCCAGCAGTGTTGGGCGGCAGCGGCAGCAGCGGGAGACGGCGACAGGGTCGGCGCTGCTGGGTTCGTTCGCTCTGTTGCTTCATCACCAGGAGCCGCTGTGTGACAGACGCTCGAGGCAGTCGGGTTCGGTGGCCGGGCTGCCAACAGCCGGGCCGATCCGGCGGGCGACGCGAAGAAGCCGGCAGCAGCCGAGTCTTCGGGGCGGCGGGAGACAGGCGGTTATCCAACAGGACAGGAAGAAGGCGGCCATGGCTAAGGCCGGCGTCGCTCCCGAGCTGCCTCCCTTAGCGCCAGCCCTACCGCATCCAGCCGTACAGAAGGAACTGGTGTACAATAAGCTGCTACCCTACGGCGATACGCTAGAAGCCGAGGCCAACTACCTCCTCGCCCAGATCAAACTGAACCTCAGCCGCGCTGTTCAGCTTCAGGAGCTTTGGCCCGGCGGCCTCTTCTGGACGAGAAAGCTTTCCACGTGAGCTTGGCTGGAGATGGGGTGGAATGGACTGCAATTTGGGTAGAGAAAGACGGGGTAATCATAGACGGGAACCCTTCCCTTCTCTTTTGATTCGGAGTGTGATATTGTGTCGACTCCTTCTTTTACTAAGGCTCGGGGTCAATACTCAGTCAGCCTCCCAAAAATCACCCTGACTTGAAGCCCACCTTAGCCCTCCAACCAACACTTCCTACCTCTCTGAGGATTTTTGCATCAAACCAGTATTTTTTTTCCCTTCTCCGCTCGCCTCCCCCCCTCAGCCAGTCTTCCACTCATAGTAAATGAAAGAGAAGGGAAACAGGAATTAGGACATGTTCATTAAATAATTAATACTCTCTAATTTCTATTGAGCTAGGTTTTGGATTTAAGACTAAGTATCTAAAGGTACTTCTTACTTTGGTAGGCATGAATATTTACTATTGGTATTAGAAAAAAAAATTGCCATGTGAAATATATATTTATTTATTTTTGGAGATAAATTGGATATCTTCATTATCACTGTTTTTAAATAAGAGGGTAGTAGAGATTGGTCTGGTACATACTGAATCATTCCATCTTTGTCAATGTTTTGCCAGGACTTGAATTTTAAATTGCTTTCTATTGGAGAGCTTGAGGTGGTTTATTTTTTTAATATAAGTACTTATAATCCTTTCTTTAAATAAAAGTTTATTTCACAGACATCTTGGGAAATTGTAGTTAAATTCTTATAAAAGCAGCTGATACAAGCAAATGAAAAGTTTGAGCGGCCATGGCTGGAAACAGTAACTTTCTGTGAAGATGGCTCAAAGGATGCTTGATCCTCTCTTTCCAGAAGCTCCATTTAGCTTTTGGGTCCTACTGAAAATGTATAACTTAAAATAACATTAATGTACTCTGCCATATTTTGATTATAAAGCTGTATTTCTCTAAACTGAACAAAAATATAATTTGTTTCACATTTGGCACCTAAAGCAAAGGGCAGTATATTTTTAATGAGAACAAAATTGTATGACACTGATATTATAGAGCTTCTTGTATTAAGGATTACGTTGTGCTATTCTTTTTAAGTACGGTAGTGAGCTTACTTCCATGCTTCATGTCCTCTTTTTGTCTGTATTACTCCAGCATCTTAGCTTTCTTTGGTGGTATTTATCCAAGGGACACGATCAACTAAGGGAGAGGTTATAAGTTAGTGATGAACCTTTTAGAGACCGAGTGCCCAAACTGCAACCAAAAACCCACTGATGTATTGTCAGGTGCCGGGTAGGCATGGCCCATTGGGTGGGTGTGGCCAATTGGTGGGTGTGGCCCATTGGGTGGGTGTGGCTTCGGTGGTAACGGCAGACTGGGTGGGACTAAAAAGTTCAATCAATTCCAACTTTGCGAGTCCCACAACAAGTTGAAATTGATTGATTGATTGACCCTTTTTTTTGCACACGGCGGAGGCCTAAAGAGAAAAGGTTTTATAAAACCCAGTTGAAGGACTGGGGCAATGGAGCGCATGCCCACAGAGAGGACTCTGCGTGCCATAGGTTCGCCACCACGGTTATAAGTAGTTATAAGGTTGCAACTTGGCTCTTAAAGTGACCTTCTGACTGGGGCATGTGCTGGAACCTTTTCATGGGAATAAATTGCCATCACCTCAGCATGTGCAACTACTTGGGTGGGCTAATGTTAAGTGTCATCTTTAAATGCTCATTTGGACTTTAAAATTACAGTATTAAGTAAATTAATAGTTTATTACACTTTATAGTACAGTACGCAGCTAGTGAATCATGCACGACTCAGTATTCTTAAAAATAAATTATTCTCAAGACTAGGGCAGAGGCTTTGTTCAATAACTTGAGAAGATTTATTCTGCTTTTTTGAAGCTGCATTACTGGTGATAATACTACCAGCTCCAAAACAGATATTTCATTTCGCTACAGAGAACAAATCTAGGAGGTTCTGCTTTTTGTGGCAGTAACAAATGTTTTATTTATAAAAGGTTTACTCAAACCTGTGTAAGGTCAAAATAAGTTCTTTAAATTATCTTAATTATCTTTTGGAGAATGATAAAATGACTATTATCCTTCCTATTGGTGGTAGAATAAATGAGTTTATAGTAAGTTGCTTGCTACTTGTGAAGAAAATATTATTTCATTATTTAGTATTCCATAGGCTGTATACATTCCAGTCATGACTGGTTCATGGTTCATGATATAACTGATTTCTGTACTAATTTCATAAAATATATTTATTTACAAAAGCTAGCATTTAGAAAAAAATATTGTCAAGTTAGCAATGTTTATTGTACACCCAAACAACAATTGCAATTACATTCTATTGAAAGTCTCACTATACATTTGGACATTGCTCTAATACAGTGGTTCTCAACCTTTTTAATGCCGCGACCCCCAACCGGTCGTAAGTCGAGGACTACTCAGCTGATGATCGTAAGTCAAGGACTACTCAATTGGTGCAGCACCGTTTGCAGAATGGGACTTTTGGCGGGCTCAGCAGGGCAGAGACAGCCTGGACAATTCCTATTGGCTATTCAAGAGAGTCTATTCTATTGGCTTTCAAAAGCCAATAGAATAAAAGGGAGTAGCACAGCTAAGGAAAAGGGGAAAAAAATGGCGGACTTCGTTGTTTGGCGACCCCTGTGAAATGGTCGTTCGACCCCAAATGGGGTCCCAACCCACAGGTTGCGAACCACTGCTCTAATATTTGTTTTAAAAAATTAAAAAATCAGTGTTATTAAAGTTTCATGGTCCTCCTCTCCCTCCCATCACCTATCACACACTTATCTTTTGAAGGTCTCCTGAGTCTGGACCTCATGTTGGGTAAGGAAGGTAGGCCATTCCATTCCTGGGCAACAGAGAAAGCTTCAGTACTGCACAGACTGTTAAGAAATTGGAGTGGAGTGCTCTGTCTCTGGACTGCTTGGTCCTGTCATGGAAATGGCCGTCATTTGAGTGACATAGCTGCATGGCCCAAGAACATTGAGGGATAGAGTAGGGTGATCTTCCCCAGTGTGAGATCTGGAACTCTGGAGGTCTTCAAAAGGTGATGGTAAGGAGTCCCAAGCCCTGTGGTGAACTGCTGGGAAGGGGAAGGCCTGCAGGGACCCAGTATTGTGGAGTGGAAAGCAGGCCCAAGGGTTGTGGGAACCTCAAGTGGCAGGAAGTGGAGCATGGGGTGTCTTGGGGTGGGGAAAATCTTGAGAGGCTCAGCTGTTAACCACATCAGCAGGTGTGGGGGTTTTAAGCAAGGAAATCTTACTTAACAGCTGTCACAACATGCAACTATAATGGGAAGGCTCATTACAGTCATAGGTCAAGGACTATCCGTATATTTCATACAGATCAAATAATTCTTTAAAAGCAAGTTATACCATGCTGTCATAATAACCAAGTACACAAGGGGGGGTTGTTTGTTGCCTTGGTTAGTTTCTAGTCTATTGTGCTCTTAATAATGGTAAAAAGTGGTTAGGGTATGCTGGAGAAGTTAGTATTCTGTATAAATCTTGAATTTGTCATTGTAAGTGACTTTGTTTACAAGAAAGATTCTTAGAGTTATATTGATAAATATAAAATTACTCACATGGTTGCCTTACAAATATGTTTTGAACTTGAGTAGACGTAGTATGACATTACTTCTCCAGTAACCATGGGTTCTCCCTGACTCTGTTTACAGCAGAATGTGTTTTCATTCTAATATGAGTTATGGACTAATGCTGTCACAACGTGCTGAAGCAGTGCCCAGATATTTGGTTTGGCTTCTGAAAAGTCCTGTGACTGTAGAAGATAACCATGTTAACACATCCTAGTATGTTGTAATTATATTTTAGTTGTTATTATGTTTATTAAATTTTTATTTTTCTAAGATGAAGTAATGAAATTATTGAATTTTCAGTGTTTGAAAAAATAGATTTACTGTATTAGATTATTCAGATATCAGTTTCAATTTCCAATGTCAGTTTGTGGTCAGATATTTGAAATCTGCAGCATAATATTCATGAACTTTATGTTGTGATGATAAAAGTCCTAACTGGTACACAGGCAGTAGATAACAGCCTGTGGTCAGTAAAGAAGATGAAGCAGCACTTGTTACAGTTAGTTGGGCAAAGTGAAGTTATGATGCATAGCAAAGAATTGTAAATAAAATGGCTTGGTTAGGATATTTAAATATAGGAGCAGATTCATGAAAGCTTATACAGAATCAGCTTGAATCTACAGGAAGCACATTTCTTAAAGCTGAATCTTACAGGACATACAACTTTTGCTGCACTGAGAATGGGAACAATAAGTATAGTCTCATTCTCTGCTTCTGTATAGCATTTGGTGCTATACAGATCTCCCATACAACTTTCCTAACCTCTGAGATGTTTTTAATTTCCAATACTGTACTAAAAGCATCAGAACCAAGATTGATTATACTCTTTTATAGTTCTTTAACATCCAAAATGATTTGTACTTGTCTTCCTTATTTCAGTTCAGATACTATAAATATTGAAGCTACTGTTAAGGTTATTTACTGAATTTAATTATATACAGTACTTTATAATATGAATGAGGATAAATGATAGATTTGTATGATCCTTATGATAAAACTAGTAAGTCATCTTTAATAGTAATGTGTGCCCCAAATTACCAATTTAGCATCAAATAGTTATCGTATTTTGTTCTTTAACTTCTTTGTGATCAGAGTCAGAGCCCAGTCAGTAGATGGTTTCACAGCTGGTTTATCCATCTATCCAGAGTAGGATTGAGTTCTTGTAGGGCTCAGAGAATACTGCATTAAGTTTTGGGGTGCCCCTTCCCCAAGATATAGAACCAAACCTGCATTGCCTGGCTGAAAAGAATGTGTTTAGTGAGGAAACTTGACTGAGTTTGAAGAAAAAGAGACTGGAGGATGAAATCTGGTGGAATGTAGTTTGGATTCCCAGGAGGGAGGGGCTGCATTCTAGGGGGCCAAGAGGTGTTTAGATAGTTTGGTTGGAAGAAAGAGAGTTAAGA